GTTCTGAAATTCTGTCATTCTATATTAGTGTGACTTTCACACACAGTATAAGGATAACTTTGAAATTCTGAAATGCTGAAGTTTCTCGTTCTTTTCGTGGTTATACTGTATAATGATAATTTGACAGCCCTCTGCGGAAACATTTCGCGGAATATGGCTAATAAGAAGAACAAGTATTCTATGCGCTTATGTTTTGTATTGTGTGGAAAGAGGCTGACGGCTTACTCGTTCATACACAGTGAACGCAGTTTTGTTATTAAAACAAAACAGTCGAAAACTGAGTTTCTTCGTAGAAAAACGAGGGTGGCCGAGTTCTTAGAATTTTAAAAACACGAAAAAAACAAACTCAGTGAAGAAACATGGTTCCGAAAAAGCATATTCGATAGACTTTTCCAAAAAACACACACATGAAGAGACATACGAAATAAAGTGTTTTTATATTGAAAAATAACTAGATAAATGTCTTGCTTTTTGACATTTTTAGATAACTATCCAGTAAGAAAAAGACTTAAGTGTAAAAAGGTAAAGTAGAAGCAAACTTGTTTGTGTCTCTCACAAAGTGCAAATAAACAAACTTCATCCAACAGTTAATGTTGCTTGTGCATTTTCTTGTGTCAGACCACCGTCACTCTGGCAAGAACCTTTTTTGTTTGTTGTTTTCTTGTTAAAGTTCAATGTTACCTTTTCATTCACATACACTCCAGTTTGAATTGTACCACTCAATACAATTTTACTTGATGTTGAATGTGGTTGAAGAAAAACACCACTTGTTTTCTTCGACGAAGAATATTTAATAACTGCTTGATAATTTGATGTTTGAGCAGCTCCACAAACTGAATCTTCCAAGATAATCTCTGGAAAACTGATAGTAACATCTTCTTTTGTAGCACCAACTTGACAATTCTTAAAGACAGCATGTACACCAAATGTGATTGTCCGTCGTGTTGAATATGTTAAACCCGGATTATAATGAAATGTGATTGTACCAGTTTTACACGAGACACTACTAGCAGAAGACACTTCAGAACGAACCCAAATGGTGAAAAATAGTATCAGAATTGTAGTTAGGTAGGCCATAATCAGTTTAGTTGATAATGAGACGAAGGAGGATAGTATGCTATTATCAAGTAACTGTTTAGATTATTTAATACACTAGTTTACTTAGAATGAAATTATATTCTTTCTTTCTTTCTTTCGATGTGCATGACCTATTCCTACCTTCAATTTCTTTGAATTATCATAGTTAAGACAAGAAAAGAGAAAGTAGGGGTATTACTGAAATACGCTAACACCTACTAACACCCCCAAATTGAAATCCGAGATAGCCGGTCGACAGACCTGTTCTTTGTGAATAAACAAACACCGAAAAAATTTATTTCAAAGAGGATTCTTTAGGGCTTTTCCATTACGAACACCCACTAACATCCACTAACACTTAAAAAAAGTGACGCAAACACCCAAAATAATATGCCAGAATAATCGCCAACCTTTTTTGAGCATATTAGATCACTTTTGAATCCATAGGAAATCTGATGAGAGCAGAGGTAGTCGCACCACTGAACTTTCAGGTGTGATCCTCCTGTATAATTTTTCTCAATAAAAGTGATTCATAAAGTACAGCAGAAGAACGACCGTGAAATTCTCTACAAAACTTCAGCCTCAAAATATATAACCCATTGTTCTTCAATTTTTTTATTAGCAGCGACCTTTTTTCTTGAGAGTATCGCAATCTCAAAGCTTCTAAAGCATCTAAATTTATTACACAAAGCTTTTTTCTGAATTCAGCATCCGCGAACAATTCACGTATTTTTTCCTCTGATTCTTCAAGCATTTTCGGAAAAATCTCCGGTCCATTCAAGTTATCCTTATACTGTGTGGAGTCACATTAGTAGAATAATTAATACATTTACCACTGCAACAGAATCAGTAATTGAATTCAATCCCATAGATCATGAAATAGCTCAGTTATCAAGAAATTTATTATTAAGTCATCCAAATCCAGCTATCCGTAAATTAGTCCCGATAAGCGTTAATGGAGATGGTGATTGTTTGTTTTACACGCTTCAAGTGTTTTATCCTGATATGTCAATTGAAGAACTTCGTCTTCGATCAATTAGTGAATTGTGTTCTCATGAAAACTATCATGCATCAGTCGTCAATGCGGTGTTGGATTTAGTAGATGATGAAAATGTCGACAATCATGGCAAAAGAATTTTATAACATTGAACAGTATGGTGGTGTATTAATGTTAAGTGCCTTATCATTTGTATTTGAACGAGAGATACAATCAATATATCCAGATATAAATGAAAATGATGAGTATTTTGGTCTCTTGAACAGAAGTTTTCTATTCCGAAATTCTGACATTTTGTATACAGTACTGCTACAACAAACTGCTTTTCCTTACCACTTCACCCGCACCACCCTCACCCTCACCTTGCGCCTGGAAAGTAGACGATTTTCGAAGATAAAATTCAAAAGTGAAACAAAACGCCGAAGAGAATAGTTCTGAAATTCTGGAATTCTGTCATTCTGTATTAGTGTGACCATCCCACACAGTATCAGGATAACTTGAATGGACCGGAGATTTTTCTGAAAATGCTTGGAAAATCAGAGGAAAAAATACGTGAATTGTTTGCGGATACTGAATTTGATCCACAAGAAGTGGGAGTTACAGGTGCATTATACATTATAATATTTGACGAGATAGGCGCATTATGCAAAAAACGGTCATCGACCAATAGTTCAACAAGAGATGCCGTACATATTACGTCATCCATCATGAACCCTCTCTTCATGTTTTCCTGTTCGGATATTTTCGCCTTCCTTCTTTCTTTCCCTTTCCACTCCCCCCCGCACCTAACTTGAATGGACCGGAGATTTTTCCGAAAATGCTTGGAGAATCAGAGGAAAAAATACGTGAATTGTTCGCGGATGCTGAATTTCATATGCAAATTCGCTTCAGGTACAAGCAAT